TAGGAACAACAACGACCAATTATCATCGGGTGTTGTGTTATTCCGACACAGCCACACCGTGGCTGGTACTGACAGAAGCAAAGACCAAGGGGCGTATTGCCTGCCTGCTTATTTGTTTGAGAAGCACACGAGACGCCGTGACGGTCATTTCGGGATAAGGAAAAAGTAAGACAAATGGAAACAGGACGCGAATAGTACAGAAGCAAAACCTATCAATGGCATCCCCCCCAAAAAAACAACAACAAATAAATAAATAAATAAATGAATGAATGAATGAATGAATAAATGAATAAATGAATAAAGGAATAAAGGAATAAAGGAATGAATAAGGGAATAAATGAATGAATGAATGAATGAATGAATGAATGAATGAATGAATGAATGAATGAATGAATGAATAAATGAATGAATGAATCAATAAGTGAACGAAGGAACAAACGAACGAAAAACGAGCGAGCGAACGAACGAGCGAATGAACAAACTAACGAACGGACTAACAAAAGAACGAACAGACGAAAAAATGAATGAATAAATGAATGCATGAACGAATGAAAGAATGAATGAATGAATGAAAGAATGAATGAATGAATGAATGAATGAATGAATGAATGAATGAATGAATGAATGAATGAATGAATGAATGAATGAATGAAAAACAAAATAAATAAGATAAAATAGGAAATATATTTCCAATGAAGTGACTTTAACATGGGCGTACACTATACTTAAAACGGGGCAAATTGTTTCCTTCTAACATGGCTACATGTAACGTTATCCAAATATCTAAACGTGTGCTTTCCATACTTTATAAGCCGTATATGATCCAGAGAGTCGGTGTTATATTAATTGCTGAATAGACACGTTGAATCGAGTTTCATTTGTTCACACACAAATAAAAAACATTAAAAAATGAAAACGTAATAGCTTTTAGAAAGTCGTTGATGCTATTTACACCTTCCTGGGAACAGGCATATTTTGTGAGAAATGCTATAAATTATAGTTGTCTTTTTGTATATTATGTGTGTGGGTGGTGGTGGTGGGGTGGG